GGAGGAGAAAGGTGGTAGGGGAAGGAAAGGTGTGTGGGTAGGGTGGAGGAAAGGTGTGGTTGGGGGAAGGAAAGGTGTGGTAGGGGGGGGAGGAAAGGGGGTAGGGGGGAGGAAAGGTGGTAGGGGAAGGAAAGGTGGTGGGGAAGGAAAGGTGTGTGAGGGAGGAAGTGGTTAGAAGGAAGGGGGGAAAGGGAGGGGAGAAAGGTGGGAGGGGGAGCAGGTGTGGTAGGGGGAGGAAAGGTGTGGTAGGGGGGGAAAGGTGTGGTAGAAGGACAAGTGTGGTAGGACAGGTGTGTGGAAAGAAGTAAACACAAGGTACTGTCATTAAGAGAGACACACAACCATCTTACCATAACAACAGCGTCAACACGGGCCCTCAGCATCGCCTGGCGTTTGCCTTGGACCTCAAAGTCACACAGATAATCAAAACTAAGCCGGACGAACCTTCACCATCCTTCTGCTAGTGATGGCGTTGTCTAATCTGTTACATAAACACTGCAAATCGTAACTCGAGATTAGAAACGGGAGAAAAAAATCGATAAATAATAACAGGATTGGTAACTTTTTTTTATTGGTTTAATTCGGAAGCACAACAAGAGATGGCGTTGTCTTTTATCATCAACAATACGTCTCCTGGTTTGTATATATTGTTTGTCTATATATTTAAATTCGCTAGCTTAGGTTAGGTTAGGGTTAGGTTATGCTCGTCTTGTAATAGCGATAGTTTCATTCGTGTTTGTTTGTTTGTCTGGATGTTCAAGAAAGTCTTTTGTCTACGTGTAGTTATTCGTAAGTGAAGATACTACTCATAGCTATACCCCTCCTCCTCTTCTTTACTCTTCCCTACCTCCTCTCTCATGCCTCTTCCTCCTCCTCCATTTCTCCCTTCTTCCCCACCTCTTCCTCCTACATCTCTCCCTTCTTCCCCACCTCTTCCTCCTACATCACCCTTACACTACAAGAATGTACAATAAATCAATTACTTTTTTTTTCGTGTTGTGTAGTATTTAAAACTAAGCTAGTGTTGTAATAGAGACTGGGCGAGAGAATGTAGTTACAGTATCTGGCCTTGTATAACTCAAACAACAACAACAATAACTAAACAACAACAGCAACAAGGCTCAGAATAAATCTAAATGGACAAGACTTTAGCCAATCCCGTAAAAATGTCACATAGCAATATACATGATTGGCCTACTGTCAACCAGTCACATTTCGCACAACTTGAGAAATTAATGTTCATTGGCTTGTACTCGATCAATCAAAACACATTTCATTATATAAGGCGATTTCAGGCAATAGTCAGCATTTGAAACTTTTACAGAAATTGGGAAAGTGAAAAAAAAAATAGTAAATGGCCAGTGTGTTTTGTTGATATTATTGCTACATGTTACTGGTGGTTCCCTGAGTCTTAGGTCTCTATCGTGAGGGGATATTTTTTCTCTTATTTTATAGATGGGGGAAAAAAAAGAGGTGAAATTCTACTAATATTACACTGAGACTTTTTACCAGATTGATGGTGAGTTTCTCTCCTGCTACACCTGTTGGTTTGTCAGGTGTGGAGAGGCAAGACCGAACACACAGTTTTGAGAGGGATCGGTGTAGGAACCAGCGAATATATATGATGTATGGGAGGGGTCAGGTGTGTGGGGAGGAGCCACACATCTATTGCATACCTGAAATGGCTCACAACTTACCAACACACCTGATTGAAGCAATAACCACTCAATACACCTGTCACACACCAGAGAGAAGTAACAATAACCTCCCTACACACCTGTCAGAATCAACAAGTAACCAACACACACACACACATATGACACACCTGAAAGAAAAACAACAACAAACTCCCCATGCAACACACACCTGGGAGGGAACAGGTGTGTGACGGGGTATGGACGCTTCGCTCTCAAACGAAATCATGCACTTTAAAACCTGCTACGCGCGTCAACCAATCAACAAGGAAGCCCCCCCCCCTCCACACCCCTCCAGGCAGTACTGTTACACCTGACGAAAACTCCAAACAACATCTCTCTCGCCTTTGCCTCCAATAACACTATACACATATAGGGTATTCTCATATGCTCCTTCAATAGAGTTTTTCATGAATTAAGTCGAGTAATGTTCCGTTAATTATTTTTCCTGCTAATTACACTTTTCAAGACATATTTGAATATTTTCTCACTTCACAAAAAACTACTTATTTTCTCTCATATATTGGTTGTGTTGTGATGGTTTTTCTTTCACGGTGAGGGCGGCTCTGAGTATCTGGTTTTAACTCCCGTCTCTTCAGTACAGCCGGTGTCATCAGAAGGTAGGACAAAAACTAACCTAAGCCTACGGTGAGTTTTTGTCCGTAAGCAGCGTCACTTAGGAATTAGGAATAGTATACCATGGTCGTCTCGAGGTCTTGTTCTCCTCACACACACACAGACACTGATGTTTACTTAATATCGTATTCTCTCTGAAGTGGGTGGTTCGAATAGTTTGAATCTCTGAAGTGAATAGATTGAAGCTTTTAAGGAAATATCGAATCTAAAATGAATTCGAATCTTTTAAGGAAATGGTTCGAATCTCTAAAATAAGTTATTCAAAACTTTCAAATGAGGTCTCGAAACACTTAACAAAGGGGTTGTATTGTTCACCTACAGATATAACCTAGCCTAGACTTCACCTGTTAACAAGGATGACACAGAAATAATCATCAGTTAAGTCAAAAGATCTCTCAAATGCAATATAACATCCATCACTCAGGTCATTTAGGTCAGGTCAGATCAAGTCCTAAACCCAGCCAAACTTCCTTTCACTCAATATTTATTCTACTACTACTACTACTACTAATAATAATAATAATAACAATTAAAATAAAATAACAAAAATATATAAATTCTTTCTTCTCAATGTGTTTATTTAGTTGCCTTAGATAAATAACTAAATAAAGCAACATTAATGGTCAGTTTGGTATAGCATCATCACAGAGGGACTAAACAAAAGTTGCATTAGGGTGATCCACAGAGTAAAGTCAACAATATATTGAAGGAAAACAAAATACAACAATTTCAGTATATTTTGAAACATTTATTGTATACAATTATTTACAAAGTGTACGGGGGGTGGGGGTGGGGGGGACACAGCCACTTCTCCAGACCTGTCTCCGCCTGCCAGATGTATGACTCATGCCTGCCAGATGTATGACTTACGCCTGCCAGATGTATGACTTACACCTGCCAGATGTATGACTTACGCCTGACAGATGTATGACTTACGTCTGCCAGATGTATGACTCACGACTGCCAGATATATGACTCACGACTGCCAGATGTATGACTCACGACTGCCAGATGTATGACTTACGCCTGCCAGATGTGTGACTTACGCCTGCCAGATGTATGACTCACGCCTGCCAGATGTAAGACTCACGCCTGCCAGATCGCGCGACCGACTGCCAGATGTATGACTCACACCTGCCAGATGTATGACTCACGCCTGCCAGATGTATGATTTACGACTGCCAGATGTATGACTCATGCCTGCCAGATGTATGACTTACACATGCAAGATGTATGACTCATGCCTGCCAGATGTATGACTCACAACTGCCAGATGTATGACTCACGACTGTAAGATGTATGACTCATGCCTGCCAGATGTATGACTCGCGCCTGCCAGATGTATGACTTACGCATGCCAGATGTATGACTCACGCTTGCCAGATGTATGACTTACGCCTGCCAGAGGTATGACTAAGGACTCTTAAATGTATGATTCAACCTGACAAACTCACAAACAAATTTTCAGACACATGACACATCTGTCAGGCTCGTGACACGCCTGACAGACCCATTAAACATCTCACACGGGAGTGACACCGAACCTGCCTTATGGGTGACACAACTGGCACACGTAACTCACTTGACAAGTATTTGAAACAATTGACTAACGTGTGACACCTGATAAGAGGCATGACACATGTATACCCGTGACATAACTACCATACTTGACACGTCAGACATGGGTGATTAACTAGCCAAACACGCGACACAACTGACAGACGCGATGCACACCTGACAAACGAATGACACACCGCTGACAGATGCAAGACACACCCCTGACAGACGCATGACACACCCCTGACAGACACATGACACACCCCTGACAGACGAATGACACGCGCTGGCGGGTACGAACCTGATGACAGACGCACGCGGCACCTGACAGACTGCGCGGCCACCCCTGACCAGACAGAATGACACACCCCTGACAGACCGCATGACACACCCCTGACAGACGGGCCATTGCACCGCTGACAGATCGCAAAAACCACACCCCTGACAGACCAGGTGACACACCGCTGACAGATACAAGACACACCTGACAGACGAATGACACACACCGCGCTGACAGATGCAAGGGCGCACCCCCTATGACAGACGTATGACACACCACTGACAGACGCATGACACACCTGAGAGAAGCGCAGCACACCCCTGACAGACGCATGACACACCCTGAGAGACACGCAGCACACACGAGACTACTGGCACTGTGGGCCTTTTGACACACCCCAGCAGACGCAGCACACACAACCGGGCCGTATGATACTCGCAACAGACGTATGACACACCCCCTGACAGATGCGCGAAGCACACCCGATAGACGCATGGCACTCCTGGGAACATGACACGCCTGGCAGACTGCGCGGCACCCGCCGACAGACGTATGACACACACCCTGACAGACGCATGGCCACCCGTGACAGACGTATGGCCTCGCCGACAGACGTATGACACAACCCTGACTGGGTACGCAGCACACCCGATAGACGCGCGGCCTCCTGACAAACACGCGGCACCCTGATAGACGTACAGCACCTGACAGACACGCGGCACCCTTAGCAAACGTACCCAGCACCCCTGACCAGACGCACGCAGCACACCGCCCGACAGACGTAGCGGCACACCCCTGACAGACACGCAGCACACACCTGACAGACGCCCTGACAGGCGTACGACACACCCTGACAGACGTATGACGCACCCCTGACAGGATCATGACACACCCCTGACAGATGTATGACACCCTGACAGACGTATGACACCCCTGACAGACGCATGACACGTATGACACCCCTGACAGACGCATGCCACACGTATGACACCCCTGACAGACGCATGACACGTATGACACCCCTGACAGACGCATGACACACCCCTGACAGACGCATAACACACAGGCGTCCCTGAACTACTGGGCCTGGACTTGCTACAGTACAAAATCACTTTTAATTTGATTATTTTTTTTTTCGTGAAAATGGGAGGGATGAAAGGGAGGGGCGAGAGCTGTGAAATAAATAAATAAAAATCTTAATTCCCTGTTGTTTTATGTACAAGAACTGAAGGAGCAACGGTTAAGAGTGACTTAGACAACACATGCCGGACATATATACAACGAGTGCAACACCTGCCGTCCTCTGTATTCTAACACACGCACTTGAGGCGCCTCATTAGAAGGAAGAGGCCGTAACTTTACTCAAAATCTAATTGGCTCTGCCCGGTTTCCACGGGAGGGTTCAAGCCCAATCGTCGACCTGATTTAGAAGGGTGAAATTTGTTTGGCCAATCAGAATCCGGAGGCCATAACCGAGAAATGCTGTTCAGCCAATTAGCGGCGATTGTTGAGGCGTCTCTTAGGGAGAGGGAAGGGAGGATGAAATCAGATCTTTGCTTGCTTCTACGAATAACTGTTTTAATTTAAGCAGCACCTCAAATCGGGTCTCAGAATACAGATTGGGAGAGTCTTGACGCAAGAACACTGACATCTTCCCTTAGTGGTGAAAAACCTATACCCAAGATAAAGGTGATATATCCTTCATACCCTGTAGTGAACCACTGTGTGCCTCTGACTGTCTCTCGCGGCTCTATGTCAACCAGTAGGCATTGTATATATAAAGTGTACTGTATATAACATGACAACCACACGGTGAAGTTATCCTTGAAGGTTGTACTTGTACCAAGAGGCCGGGAGACTCACACATGTGCAACACTGAACGGATTGAACAAAAACTGGTACTTGTTGTCGGCGGTGGTGGTGGTGAAGATGGTGCACCACAGCGCCCTCACACACACACACAGACACACACACACTCACACACACTCCTCCAGAGCTCTATATCACAAGTGGTGGCACCATCCTCCCTCTGTTTTGAGTGTTCACATTGTTATTCTCGTGTGTTCGTAGAAATTTTAAAGTCTGTTTGTTGTCTTGTTGAACTGTGAAACCTTCCCAACACTGAACAACGTCTTTCGTGAAACAGCATATTACTTGATTCACTTACACGTAATCTCACTTTTTTCATATTATTGTATAAGAACTCACATGAGGACATTTATTTATTTATTTTCAAACTGAGAGTCGGGTGACATCGTTCACTCCTACAGTCGAAAACACAAAATGTTCCTACGTGTTCAACTGTCTCTCGCACTGGGTTGTCATCCCGTATGTTTGTGAGTTTATACCAACGAGATGGTTGACTGATGTAGGTTGTGGTGGCCTGCTCCTCCCTCTAAGGTTATCATCAACACCTCCAAGTTGAGAGACCCATTGAGTCTTTTTTCCAACTAACGTAATCACGCACACGGGCGTTTCATATACACGTACACACAAGGGTATCGTACACACACCCGCACGCTGAAGAGAGTTTCCTCCGCGTCCTTAACCATTACTGATCATCACAACCAGGAAGGGAAGGACGCCCATCGTCTCATCAACCACTTGTCTCTCAAGATCGAGTCTTCAGGAGTGGAATGCTCGAGGTCTCCGCAGCAGTGGGCGGCGTCAGTGTCTCGTGGCGTGAGCTCTTCAAGGGGCTGAGGTGACGGCCACTCGCTGCCTCTCTCTCTCTCTCTCTCTCTCTTTGTGGAGGGTTGAACTCTTAGAGGGTCTCCAGAACCTTGATCTCCCGGCAATGGTTGGTGGGGAGCCAAGACCCCAGACTGAGGACGCTGGCCAACGTACTTTAGGAGGCCAGGTCTCAGTAAGGCCTCCACACCTTGATCTCCGGGCTGCGATCGCTGGAAGGCTTGACGGGCTGGAAGGATGACTCTCGGGACGGGAAATTGGTCTTGGCCCCGCCCAGCGACCGAGGGATAGAGAAGGCGCTGAGACCTCCCAGGGGGGCGAGAGGTGGAGGCCGGATGCTGCTGGTGCCGTTGTTGTTGTTGCTGCTGCTACTACTGCTGCTACTGCCGCTGGTGGTGCCGTTGGCGCTGCTGGTGGGGGTGGTGGAGGCGGAGATGGCTTTAGGTGAAGAGGAGGGGGAACCCGGCGTGGCGTGGTGGAGGATGGAGGTGCAGGGGCCGCCAGACTCACATCCTCGACACCGAAGACACCGTGACTCTCCTGAAGAAGAACATCAACACGTCAGGACAAGAAGGACACACTGGACGACACATCACCGTCCACACACAATTATAAACAAAGAAACAACAACAACTTTAACACAAATAAACTACTTTAAATTAAACAAAAATAAAAGTAAACAAACAAAAACACGCACAGTACTTTCACAACCCAAACAAGAAAATTCCCAAACACAAGTACTAATTAATGGTCATATTAGATCTGTATTGAAACTCACAACCAAAGAAAATAACATTACAAGCTAGTGGACAGGTTACAGCTGTAGTTGTTTACATAATACAAGAAAGGTCTCACATAACAATAACCTGTAACACGAAAGAACTTATTATGAGAGACTGGAATGTGTGAAGGAGTTTTAAATTAGAAGTGATGGTTCACCTGAAGATTAGACCCCCAAGTTTATTTCACTTTTACAGTAACTACACTAACGTTAACCTAACCTAACTACACTAACACTAATCTAACCAAACCTAACCTAACATGACCCTACACTAAACTAACCTAACCAAACCTAACGCCAATTTAATCTTACATGACCTACAGAGAGAGAGTCAATATCTTTAAGGAATAAAATTTATTGTTGAAAAGGAATGAGTGAAGGGAACAATATCTGAGAGTTATCGTCTTGGGTGGTTAGGTTAGGTTAGGTTAGGTTAGGTTAGGTTAAGTAAAGGTTAGGTTAGGTTAGGTTAGGTAAAGGTTAGGTTAGGTTAGGTTAGGTTAGGTAAAGGTTAGGTTAGGTTAGGTTGGGTAAGGTTAGGTTAGGTAGGGTTAGGTTAGGTTAGGTTGGAGTTGGGTAAAAGGTTAGGTTGGGTTAGGTTAGGTTGGGTGAGGTTAGGTTGGGTTGGGTTGGGTTGGGTTAGGTTGGGTTAGGTTGGGTTAGGTTGGGTAAAGGTTAGGTTGGGTTGGAGGTTGGGTTAGGTTGGGTTGGGTTGGGTTGGGTTGAGTAAAGGGTTGGGTTAGGTTAGGTTAGGTTAGGTCACGATAATTTTAGTAAAGCCAAATTAAGTGATGACTAGTTAGTTTAGGTTAGGTTGGGTTTAGTTAGATTAAAGAACGCTAGATTAGATTAAATTGGGTTGAAGTAGGTTTGATTAAGTTAGGTTGAATCATCTTCAGTTTAAGTTAGGTAAAATTAAGTTCAGATTAACTTTGTACAAACTAAATTAAATTACGTTTAATTAAGATTAATTTTAAGATTAAGTCCGGATAATGTAAGTTAGGTTAGGTTAGGTTAGGTTAAGTTAGGTTAAGTTAGGTTAGGTTAGGTTAGGTTAAGTTAGGTTAAGTTAGGTTAGGTTAAGTTAGGTTAGGTTAGGCTAGGTTAAGTTAGGTTAAGTTAGGTTAGGTTAAGTTAGGTTAGGTTAGGTTAGGTTAGGTTAAGTTAGGTTAGGTTAGGTAATCCTCCAAGACAATATTGCTCCTATATTGTCACGTCATCCTCACACAAAAGAGATCACTGGAACCACACCCATGAACGCCAGTGCGAGCAATCATTATCGCCTGGTGTCTTCCCTTCCGCCTCTTATGCCTGCACTGGTGAACATATTCTCAAAGCTGGAAGAACAAACACACACACACACACACACACACACACACACACACACCACGAACCTGTAAGCATCGGTCTCGGCGTCTCGTTATTGGTTATACTGGCGAGGGCGTGGCTGTGGGCGGGGCTGTGGGCGGGCAGGGAGGGTAAGGAGTGGGCGGAGAGACTGCTGAGGGCGGCGCCTGGGAGGTGAGAGCTGCCCACGCCCATGCCGAGGCCACCCACCAGACCGGAAGCTCCGCGCCAAGCATCTAGCCACCCGTTGCCACCCACTGAAACAGCGTGAAGGAGTGTTAGTCTTATACCAGAGAGAGGGTGGTGACGTAGGTGTGACGTGGTGGTGACGTAGGTGTGACGTGGTGGTGACGTAGGTGTGACGTGGTGGTGATGGTTGTTGTTGTTTTGGTGGTGGTAGTGATTGTTGTTGTTGTGGTAGTGGTTATTGTTGTTGATGTTCATAACCTTTGTTATTGTTGTTAGTGTTATAATTACAATTGTTATTTTTATTACGTCATGTTTAATTATATTGTTATTATAATTTTGCCGGTGATATTATTTTCAACATCGTCTCTAATATTTCATTACTAGTATCGTTATTATTATTGTTACTATAATAATAATCATCAATGTCATCAATATTATCATTATTATTATCATTATTATCATTAAAAATATTAGTATCATTATCCATCGTCTCCTAATTTATTACCATCATTATTATTATTTTTATCAATATTATCATTATCGCCCCCCCCCCCTCCCTCCACTGTTACCTGGACATGGTAACCTGTGTTGTTGTTCACACCTGTAATTACCCTCACCTGTTGTTGTGGCAGAGTGGTGGTGGCCTTTGTTCCTCTTGTTATTGTTAATTGTATAGTTGTTTGTTATTGTTTGGTAATGATGTGGTTGTTTGGTTGTTGTTGTTGTTGTAGGTGTTGTTATTGTTAAGTATATTATTATTATTATTATTATTATTATTATTATTATTATTATTATTATTATTATTATTATTATTTTTATTATTATTATTATTATTATTATTATTATTATTATTATTATTATTATTATTATTATTATTATTATCATCATCATCATCATCATTATTACTAGCCGCCGTATTTAGTACTTATTTTTCAACGTAATTATAAACATACTGAGAATAATGGGTTTTTTCTATAAGTTGTTATGAGTTGGAAATAAAAAAACAGTTGTAGGCCTAATAACACATTAAACAGATGACATTATAGAAATTATTTAAAAAGAAGCGAATACATTAATATATAACTCTGCCGCCGCCACGTGTGTCGGGTGGTGTAAAGGAGCGCTAACCTAACCTAACCTAACCTAACTTAACCTAACCTAACCTAACCTTACTTAACCTAACCTAACTTAACCTAACCTAACTTAACCTAACCTAACCTAACTTAACCTAACCTAACTTAATCTACCCTAACCTAACTCAGCTTAACCTGCTTCACCTCACCCATCCTAAGGTCACTGAACCTAACCTAACCCGAGCTAACCTAACCTAACCCGAGCTAACCGAACATAATATAACTTAACCAAATCTAATCTAATCTAATCAAAACTGACTTTATTCTAACCAATCGCATCTAACCCTAATCTAATCTAACCTAACCTAACCAAAGGCTAACTTATTCTAACCTAATCTCAACATAACTTATTACTTGTAAGATCACCTGTTGTGTTTCTAAACGAATTATCTCAGAGTTGTTAAAAGTTGTGGTTGTTAGTTATATATAGAAAGTTGTTAGCGATGTTTTAAGCCTAACAAGCAGAGTGGCTGTGTTGCACCGTCGAAAAGTAAAATATTTTTGTTATAACTAATTTGCATATTATTATCGGATCATATGAAGATTAACCCGCCAGCTTATATCCCGGATGATTAAACACTCTAACGCTAACCTGGGGTGGGTTAGGTGTGTTGTGTTGGCGTTAGGTTAGGTTAGGTTAGCGTTACTTTATGCTATTTTTTTCCCTTTGTAATGGGGGATAGCCCACCCGGGCACAGGTCATCGACCCATAAAGGGGCCCGGGGGGCGAAAACGTGGGAAAAAAGTAAATAAAATAGAGAAGAAAAAGGTTATACTGTGTTAATTTACACCACGAAGATGCCGGAAAACCAGCTTTTTGAAGTGAGACAGATTGTATGAGTATGGAAACACAGAAGAAGGCGGAGCATTCCACAGTTTAGCTGTGTGAGGAAAGAAGGATGTACTATAACGGGTTATTCTAGTGTGACCGACATCCACACAGAAACTGTGGGCACCGCGGGCAAGACGTGTGTTACGAGCCCACGGCCTTGCCGGCGGTACACAGGATGCTAAATCCACCGAACATTGCCCGTTAAAATATCTGTAAAAGAGAGAGAGTGAAGCAACATTGCGGCGAAGAGAAAAGGAAGAAAGATTATCAACTAAAGGAGGAGAGTTAAGAAGACGAAATGCCTTTGATTCCACCCTATCTAACAGTTGGACAGAAGAAGCGCCACCCCAGATATGAGAGCGGTACTCCAAGTTAGGACGAATGAATCCCTTATATACTTGAAGCAACTGCTCAGGAGTGAAGTAGCTAGGGCATCTGTACAGCATTCCCCGCTTGGGATATAGGATAGCGTCCTGAAATGTGATTGGTGGAAGATCATCTAATTTGGAAAGTGTTTTGGTAAATACTGAGTTTTATTACTATTGAATTTAACCAAGTTTGTACCTCCCCATTCAGAGATGCTGCACAGATCCGCATTGATAGAAGTAATGACGTCAGCTCTAGAAACAGATCTAGTTTGAGAATTAGGGGGGAGGGAAAAATGTGAAGAAGAGTGAAGAGTAGAATCATTAGTGTAAGAATGGATAGAATTAGTCGTAGTGTGAAGTAAATCATTGATAAAAATAAGGAAGAGAATAGGTGAAAGAACAGAACCCATTAGGTTAGATTATGTTAGGTTAGGTTAGGATAGCATTAGATTATTTTAGTTTATGTAAGGTTAGTATTAGGTTAGGTTATGTTTGGTTAGCATTAGGTTATGTCAGGTTAGCATTATGTTAGGTTAGCATTATGTTAGGTACGGGTGGTTAATATTCAGGTGAAATAAACTGCGGGGATAATCATCAGGTAATCCTCAAATAACTATAACTTCATTAATAACTCTACCTGTACACTGTGACAAAAACTTACCTACGAATATAAATAACTCTTGAACTCTAATCACGACCAAAAAAATTACTAAGAATAAGAAACTTCAGATAATTTAATTTTATCTCAACAAACTGACATAGTGCGTCATTAATATATAAGGGAACACAGTAACGACCCTCTCCTTGACCTATAACTACTCTATATATAGTATAACAAGAAATATAGTGACGACCCTCTCCTATGGCCTTCCAGTAACATCAAGTATAATATCTAGACATCAGACAACCTTACTAAACCACAGCCATTTATAAGATCTATAATAATCATACACCAGTAGTGATTATAGGCTGGAGTAGCTAACCAATAAAGGTATATAACTATCATGAGAGATGTGATATATATACTAAGGATGAATCTTTCCTTCACTTCAATTATTTTTTTTATCATGTCAACTAAAACACCAAATTAACTCAATTTATTCTTACAATTATTATTTTAAAAGGTTGTCAATAGAGGGAAATATAAATATCTTATTATGTAATGACTCACACGAGGCTACACCCCCCCCACCTTCCCCCTCCCCCCTCCCCCCACCATGGTGTGCCTAGTTCACATCTGGTCCACGAGGCGGCGGACATGACTGATGTTGTTGATGCAATAAATGTATAATGTATGACTGTGCTTTAATAACTAAGGTATTTAAGCTCGTTATTCGGACTGGGTTGGGTTAGGTTAGGTCTGGAAAATGGCCCTTTGGTCGTACTGATGTTTGGCTCTGAGCGTGTGGTTTATTTCAAGTGATTTTTTATGTATTTGTGATTTTTTCTTTCGTGTGATTTTTTTTTTACAAAGTCCATAATTTTTAAAGGCATTCCAAAATCTTGTTACTAAATTTTTTCTTGTGATTGCCATTTCAAAAAATCTAATTGACACTGGAATTATTTTTATAACATAATTTTTAGTTGATAATAATCTACACTTAAAAAGGTTGAAAACAGAAAATTACCAGCATAAATCCTCAAAAGTTACTCCTGAGCTATAATTATTAGCTGTATAATTAGTTATGTTTGAAGCAACAACAACAACAGCAACAACAACAATAATAATAGTAATAATATAACAATAATAATAATAAAAATAAACCGAAGTCAGGAAAATCTTAAGTTAGGTTACTGCAGTGGCAAAGACAGACATACAGACAGACAGACAGACACAAAGAGAATGACGTATAGATAAACACAGACACACACAGCCAAGCGAGAGCAGACACTCACCTCTGGCCAGCTCAAGAGCCTTAGTGTGCGCGAGAGGGTTAAACGCCGTCAGTCCAAGGTTGTAGCCCAGAGCGGAGAGGTGCGAATCCAGCCACGGATGATAGCCCAGGTGGAACCCCCACCCCGGGTGACCTATGGGAGGTGCAGAAGGTGGAGTTAGTGGGGGAGGTACTGAGGGAGGTGATGGTGGGGGTGTGAGGATGAGGGGGAGATGTGGGTGGGTGTTGGTGAGGGGTATGAAGATGAGGAGGGGGGAAGGGTGAGAGAGGGGGATGTGAGGATGAAGGGAGGGGGGTTGAGAGGATGATGGAGAACTGGAGGGGTGATGGTGGGGGAGTGATGATGGGAGGAGAGAGGGAGGGGGAATCATGGTGATGGTGGGGAGGGGGGAAATGATGATGCTGATGATGATGATGATGATGATGATGATGATGATGATGATGACTATGATGATGATGATGATGATGACTATGATGATGATGATGATGATGATGATGATGACGATGATTGTGTTTACGTCTAACTGTTGGTTGTAAACGTGTCTACTGTTGTCGTAAGCAATAATGGTGATAATAAATACATTAATTGATTTAAGATGTATAAAATAAAATATATATATACTGTATATATGTAGTCCTATTAAGGTTTGTTTATCTAATGTGTACTGTATGTATGTATGTATGTATGTATGTATGTATTGTATGTATGTATGTATGTATACTATGTATGTATGAATGTATGTATGTATGTATTCCACATATGGATACATTAATACGAGTATATGTTCCTGCACATAATAGCGAATATTTTTAATCATTCATACGGATTCATACACAGCCAGACGTATTTTCACAAACACACACACACACAATCCTATACACACTGGCACACACACTATGAAAGCATACGAATAAAAAAACCCACGAACGCAACAAAACACACCCACCCACCCACACACACACACACACAGGGTATCTGCCGAGGCTGGTACCGTGTGTGTGTGTGTGTGTGTGTGTGTGTGTGTGTGTGTGTGTGTGTGTGTGTGTGTGTGTGTGTGTGTGTGTGTGTGTGTTGGGAGGTAATTGATGGCCCGTCATAGGGACATGTAGCCGTGAGTGGATTTAATTGATTCACATTCGAACTATCCCAGGCAGACCGTCAGCCGCCCCACACCTCACTCCCTCCCCCACCCTCACCCCCTCCCCCCCCCACACCTCACCCCTCTCCCCCACACCCCATCTCTCTCCCCCACACCTCACATTCTCTCTCTCCCCCACACACCACCCCTCTCCCCCCACACCTCATTCTCTCTCTCCCCACCTCACTCCCTCTCCCCCCACACCTCACTCCCTCTCTCCCCCACACCACCCCTCCCCCACACCTCATTCTCTCTCTCTCCACACCTCACTCCCCTCTCCCCACACCTCACCTCCTTCCCCACACTCTCCCCACACTCCACTCCCTCCCTCCCCCCCACCTCACGCCCTCTCCCTCTCCCCCCCTCTCCCCCCACACCACTCCCTCTCCCCACACTCACCCCCTCTCCCCCACTCTCTCTCCCCTACACCCCCTCCCCTCCTCCCATTTCGTGTCAGGAACATGGTGTGGCTCGGATCCTCACTAGTTCGCGGGTCAGACATACAGTGTGACCTAGTTTGGTTAATTCTTAAAATCTGAATATCGTTTTACTTTAGAAGTTCTGACCTAGTAAAGGGAACTTAATGACCCTGCCAGTTGAATCACCTGAAACAACACACACACAATGCAAGTCTCTCTCTCTCTCTCTCTCTCTCTCTCTTTATCAGGGTCGGTATCCACTCCAGACCACAACCACCATCCACACATCCACCTACCCACAATCCACTCACGTGACTTGTTCCGGGGCTCCCTAGGGCCGTCTACCGTCACCTTGATCGCCTTCGTCAGGGTGGTCATCTGCATGGGAGCCGTGCTGATGATAATGGACAGGTTGAAGCTCTTTCCTGATGGGGGAGAAGAGGAGGAGAGGTTAGTGTTGGAGGAGGAGGAGGGGGAGAGGTTAGTGTTGGAGGAGGAGAGGTTAGTGTTGGAGGAGGGGGAGGAGGAGAGGTTAGTGTTGGAGGAGGAGGAGGGGGGCAGGTTGGGAGGAGGAGGAGGAGGAGGAGAGGTTGGGTGTTGGAGGAGGAGGAGGAGAGGCTAGTGTTGGAGGAGAGGAGGAGAGGTTGGGGTGTTGGGAGGAGGAGAGGTTAGTGTTGGGAGGAGGAGGAGGAGGTTAGTGTTGAGGAGGAGGAGGAGGAGGTTAGTGGGTGGAGGAGGAGGAGGAGGAGAGGTTAGTGTTGGTGAGGAGGAGGAGGAGAGGTGGTGTTGGAGGAGGAGGAGGAGGAGAGGCAGGTGTTGGAGGAGGAGGAGAGGAGAGGTTAGGAGTTGGGAGGAGGAGGGGAGAGGAGGAGGAGGAGGAGAGGTTAAAAGGGAGGAGGAGGAGAGGTTAGGTGTTGAGGAGGTTAGTGTTGGGAGGAGGAGAGGTTAGTGTTGAGGAGGTGGAGGAGGAGAGGTTAGTGTTGGAGGAGGTGGAGGGTGAGAGGTTAGGTGTTGGAGGAGGAGGAGGAGAGGTTAGTGTTGGAGGAGGTGGAGGAGGAGAGGTTGGTGTTAAGGCAGAGGAGGAGGAGGAGGTTAGTGTTGGAGGAGGAGGAGGAGGAGAGGTTAGTGTTGGAGGAGGAGGAGAGGAGGAGGAGGAGGAGGAAGAGGAGGAGGAGGAGGAGGAGAAGAAGAAGAAGAAGAAGAAGAAGAAGAGATAACAAATTTAATTATAGACACAAACTCTTTTGTTAGGACATAAAACCTAATCTAACTTAACCTAACTTAACCTAACCTAACCTAACTTAACCTAACCTAACTTAACCTAACCTAACTTAACCTAACCTAACTTAACCTAACCTAACTTAACCTAACCTAACTTAACCCAACTTTACACATTCTAAAAATACTTCCCTCGCTATACGAAAAAAACAAGTACTTTCCTCACTAAACGCAAAATAAAAAAAGTACTTTCCTCAACACAAAATATATACCATCCTTTCCCTCACTTAAAAAAATAAAAAAATAAAATTATTCTACCTCAAAATTTTCCCCAAAACAAGGGCGCAGTTTTTTGGTCAATATATCAAAAATTAAAATTAGTAAAGGGATTTTTTTTTATTTTTTCTGTGTTCAAGTTTAATGAGGACACTTGCTAGGTTCCCGTCACGCACTTCAGGGAGATTATTATACATTTAAGGGAGATTATACACGTGTTATGCACTTCAGGGAGATTATACACGTGTTATGCACTTCAGGGAGATTATACACGTGTTATGCACTTCAGGGAGATTATACACGTGTTATGCACTTCAGGGAGATTATACACGTGTTATGCACTTCAGGGAGATTATACACGTGTTATGCACTTCAGGGAGATTATACACGTGTTATGCACTTCAGGGAGATTATACACGTGTTATGCACTTCAGGGAGATTATACACGTGTTATGCACTTCAGGGAGATTATACACGTGTTATGCACTTCAGGGAGATTATACACGTGTTATGCACTTCAGGGAGATTATACACATGTGTTATGCATTTCAGGGGGATTATACACGTGTTATGCACTTCAGGGAGATTATACACGTGTTATGCACTTCAGGGAGATTATACACGTGTTATGCACTTCAGGGAGATTATACACGTGTTATGCACTTCAGGGAGATTATACACGTGTTATGCACTTCAGGGAATATACTTATTAACACTATTCTTTTCGTCTACGTTTTATCGTCTTTTTAATTACTTCTCCCCTGTTATCCGTTTTATTCTTCCTCTCTCTTTATTCCCAGTCTTTATCACGTTATTCCATGCACTCAGAGGATAGATGTTGCTATTATTGCTAACATGTGTATTAATAGTAGATAATAATAGCTCTTTTATATGGCATACTCTAGTAGGTAAATTAGGATCACATGAAGATTAGACACCCCAGCTTATTTTACCTGGATTAGACACGTAAGCTTATTTTATGTGAAGATTAGATACCCCCAGCTTAGTTTATGTTGGACAAGGTGAGGGTGAAATATATCTACCTGTCTGTCTGTCTGTCTGTTGGTAAGTTCCAGGTGGATCGTTCATTCTCCCCTCACCTCTCCTCCCCATCTCCCCACCTCCTTCCCCTCCCTCCCCTCCTCCTCCCCCTCCCTCCTGATACAAAATCGATAGTCATGCTGATCAATAACTGCGAAGAGGAGTGGAGGGGTGGAGGGGTGGAGGTGGGGGGGTGGAGGTAGGGAGGTGGGGAGGTGGGGAGGTGGGGAGGGGTTAGGTGGGGAGGGGTTAGGTGGGGAGGGGGGTGATGATGGGTGGTCAACGATGGTTCACCCTCTGATAGATTTAATGTTAACTTAAGTTCAGGTTAATTATGTCATCTTAACCCCCTCCTCTCTACCCTCCCTTCACCCCTTTCCCTCACCCACCCTGCATCCTCTCCCTTTATTTACCCACTCATCCTCCCTCCCCTCCCCCACCCACCCACTCTTCTCACCCCCTACCTCCTCCCCCCTTAACTATCGGGTCTTCAGTAAATGACCATTAATTTACTCCTGATTCAGTTAGTTGTTTGCTATGGGTTGTTCATCACTACACTACAGTATATAACAATAATACAGTCACCTGAGCATTAGGCACCCCAGCTTATATCACCTGATGATTAAACATGCTAATGGTAACCTAACCTAACCTAACCAAACCTAACCAACCTTAACCTAACCAAACCTAACCAACCTTAACCTAACCTAACCAAACCTAACCAACCTTAACCTAACCAAACCTAACCAACCTTAACCTAACCAAACCTAACCAACCTTAACCTAACCTAACCAAACCTAACAACCTTAACCTAACCAAACCTAACCTAACCAACCTTAACCTAACCTAACCTAACCAAACCTAACCTACTCCCCCTCACCAGGTAGCGTTTCGGTATTTAATCGCCAGGTGTAATAAGCTAATGGGGATGCCTAATCTTCAGGTGATCTCATTCGTGTTACTGATAAAATGAGATAGAATGTTTATTAATATTTATACATCTAGTAAACATTTATCTTTACGTGGTCATTAAACATCAAAGACGCCATAGATGTTTATACCATATGGCAATGTTAATATGAATAGTTATGACGTCATCCCTTTCATCACCCATGATTGGTTAGGAAAAATATCTCGAGTCACTGATTGGTCGATATATACGTAAATATTCATGACGTTGTATCTTTAAGCCTTTTAATTGTGACATTATTCACATTTCTCTCCCATGATTGGTTAGAAAAAAAATTCTCTTGTTCAGTTTCGTCTCTGATTGGTTAATATTATCCGTGCACATCCATGACGTCATATATAAATTTATCCTCCCCATAATCCCATTCGTCCCAATAACCTCCCCTATAACTCCTCTTCACCATTACATCCCGTCCCCATTAACCTCCCTATAGCACACCTTGCCCCTCCCCTCCCCCCCCAACCCATTAAAACGACCGTATCTATCGATCTCATGTAAAAATATCGATTGCAAGAACTGGAAACTTATGAAGAATTTAACCTAGCACTTCAATATAACCTGGCACTTCAATATAACCTGGCACTTCAATATAACCTAGCACTTCAATATAACCTAGCACTTCAATATAACCTGGCACTTCAATATAACCTAGCACTTCAATATTAACATCTTTCATTAACATATTAACACTGATTAATAATTAGGTGATGAACGCTTAGTTGTGTTAATAACGATAAAAAACTCATCACTTTTTATATAATATTTAAGCTTTATAATTAATAATAAAGGTCGTATGTGTGAGGTTAAATTATATACCGTATATAAATTTGGTAATTAACATATTTAACAGTCATATTTATAGCATTTTAACATCAATGTGAGCAATAATATTTGATGAGGAAGATTAACATGAGTAGCTATAGGTACTTAATTAGCAATATCATCATCTATAGTGTTAGTTAAGCCGTTAGCATACCACAAAGATAATTAACATCAATAGTAGTGTACCGGGAACATGTTAAAAGCCCACATAATTAAATAACACCAATTTTAACAACACTACGGAATCTATTACAAAACATAAAATCTACAATTAATATTAATTTTAACATCATTTATCACCCAACCAAGGTTAACATATTCTTTCAACCATAACAGAAACAAGAACAATTAAACCACCAGTGTTAACATTACCATCAGGCACCACATTAACAATTACTAACAATGTTATAATTAATTTTAACTTGCCGGCCACAACATGAAAGCCAGAGACATTTTTATTAACACAGCGACCACTTCCCTCCCGTCTTTCTCTCCCTGTCCTACTCTTTCTCTCACTCCCTCTCATTTCTCTCCTACTCCCCATTCCCTCTCACTCTCTCTTCTCCTTTTACTCCCTCTCTCCTCCCCCCTCCCTCTCTCTTGATTTCCTTCCCTTTGCCACTCTACTTTCTCTTTCTTTATTTACCCCTTCCCCTTACCCCTTGTCCATCCACTTCCCCTTTCTTCCCTCCTTTTCCTTGTCTCCCATTCTTTCTTTTTCCCCTTCCCCATCTTTCATATATTTTCACCCCCTTCTCTCTCTCTCTTACCCTTTCCTTCCTCCTCCTCTCTCCCCCTTCCCCCCTCCTCTATCCCCCTTCCCCCTCCCTCCCACTCACCTTCCCATTAAAGCCATCAATACCATCAACGGTGTCCACAATAACACAGTAGTCATTTCCTCTCCCCTCTCCCTTCCCAGTTATGAGGGGGAGGGGTGGGGAGGGAAGGGGAGGGTACACGCGGGTGGTCAGTATCACTTATGGGCGTGGGCGGTCACCTGTGGGCGTTTGTGGTCAATAATTAAGCGAGCGGTCACTACACTAGCAATTAACCTGTGTCTTCCATCCCACCCTCCCTCCCCTGTGGACACCTTCCCTC